GTTTCCTCCTGGAGGCTTTCAAGTCTGGATAAAACCCTGAGCAATTAAATCTGACCTTGTAGGTGACCCTGCTTTAAGCAGGAGATTAGCCTAGATGACCTCCAGAGGGCTCATCCAACCTGAATTTTCCTGTGATCAGGTGACCTGGTGATTCCTGGGTAACTTCTGTCTGGGAAGGCTTGTTATGTAGTCCATTTTAATATTATATACATTGGTCCCTTGATCTTACTTCTCCAAAATTATCCTCCTTGCTCTGTAGAATTACTGTTTGTTGATAACTGCAATAAATCATTATTGAGGGAGTGTCCAGTCCACATAGCTGAATTGTTCTGATTCTGTTCAATACAGAAGAATGTGCTCCATATACACAAGTTAATTTACAGTGTTAGAACAGTAGTGACCAGGTGGTATTGAACTTGAAGAACAGCATTATGTGATCTCTGAACTTGCAAAATGACCACTATTTGCTTCTGATATATAGATAATGATTATAACAGTTGGTACAAGACTTATAGTTTTCTATACTTCATAAAGAAAAGAACAAAATAAAAAGGGGGCAGGGAGGGAAAATTACATCTGGAGACACAGGCAAGCATTATGTTACCTTTCTAGGGGAGTCCCAGTACTTACTTTCTTAGATTGCAGTTGAAACGTTTCACTCGAACAATTTCCTTATAAATGCACGTACTTCAAAGGTCAAGCCAGAGCCATTGTGAAATAGGCTTTAAGAGAAGCATAAAACTCCTATCTGACACAGAGTCACTGGCAATTGAAAAAGCAAAGACTGGAAGGGTTAAAGGCTAATTGCTAGAAGAAATCTGGCCTGCTGGCCTAAGGTATTTTGAGTAGGAGCACAGTCAAATGGCAGTTGTGGGATTAATTGGGTGAAAGACATTGTCACCTTGACATTCATGAAAGTACTTGGGAAGAGCACTTTTTCCTGATATACTGTGGACAGTTCATTTAAACCATGGAGGTAAGATTTCTTTTTTCCACAAAGATTTTGCCTTTTCTTTTTAATTGGTGTCAAATACAAAAATTAAAATCTCCAGTGTTAGAAAATCTTGCACTTATTTTCTAAAGTTTGTAAATGTCTCTTCCTGATTGGTTCTCGCCATATAGTGAAAAGTAAATGTATATCCCAAGGACAAAATGTTCAAGCCCCTGGCTTAATAAAATGAAGAGAACAAAACTTGCAAGCTACAAGCCCCTTTGGAGCTCTTTGTGCTAGTGGGAACATAATGAGCAGTTCTTTGTGCTTCTTATAAATAACTCCAACATCCACTGATCAGCAGCATGACCTCAAGCCAGGCAATTTAAATCTCTACTTTACTTTGCCCAATATTTTTTGTCCATGCAGTAGGTATCTTATGGTCAAGGATGACAGTGCTCTGGCTGTAGGGGAATCAGGTACAGTCCTATGCATAATAAATGCTGTTTGCTGCAAAATTTTACTGCAGTCATGTCATATCAGTGCACAAAATTGTTCTTCTGTTCTTCTCCATCATTTAGTCACTATAATTCTCCCTGCCTCGTGATATAAGATTTGTTCATAAAAGTTTACACTTTCCCTCATTTTCTTTTTTTCAGTCAAGAGGTCAAAACAGTTCCCCAGAAATTTGCATTCAGCCTTCAGGGTACTTTTGAAGCACAACATAGGAGATAGTCAGTTTTGTGAACTGGAAACGTAAATTAACTGAAATAGCTGAAACTTCATTATTAGTGCTTCAGAAATGGCAAATCTCCTAATAAAGGATAGTAAGTGCAGAGCAGGGTTATCTCATTGATCAACTTCTTATTTTTTCACCTCAGTATCACACTGGAGTAAGGAATAAAGGTTCTTTTGAAATTCCCCAGCTCACAAATCTGCCTACTGTCCAGTATGTAAATCTTACTCTTGCACTACATCATGATAAACATGGTAAATGTTGAGCTGAGACAGCACAGATCCACTACCTTTCAGTACACCTAAAGCAGTTGCCAAAGACTGCACCGGGTTTCCGTGTGAGGTGGTAACCCAGTAATTCCAGCAGAATCACACCAAACACTTCCACAGGGACAAAAAATTTGTACAACTGCAGTTTGGCCTGTTATGGAAGGACTGGTTGACATGGCCTCTCCAAAACTGGCCACAGTTCCCTGGCTCTGAAACTGAAAAAAAATAAAAATAAAATATGCTTCAGTCAGCTTTTCAAGCTACTTAAAGATACAGAGATAAAAAGTGCTTTAGAAAAAATAATCATTCTCCAAATCCTTAGCTGAGTTATGATTCTAGCAAAAAGGACTGATCATTTTTATGTGTGAGAGAGAATTACCTTGTAGCTTTCACATCTTAAATCTGTGATATGAAATATTCACTCTGCTGAAGCCAATCAGTGTTTCACTGTCAATGGAAGTAGGTCCAGGCTTTCAGGCAGAGAAAATCAAGGGCAAGTTATGTGACTGGATATGTGAGAGCCAAAGGTCCTTTACTTTCATTTGAGTTCTGAAGGAAATATACATCCAATACTGTATTTTAGTAAAAGTAAGTGTCTGTGTGAGCATTTTGAGCAAGCTGAATTTCAGAAGAAGGGAAGAAGCAAGAATACAACTGAGTAAGAATCTTTCTTTTTGAACTTGTCCTTTCAAAATCTTCAGGAAGTGAAACATGTCCAGTACATGTATATGCTGCTGTAAGGGTGTTTTCCCTATTTCTTACTTAGAAAAAAATATCAGGTTTAAAACAGGAACAAATACTCAGATTGTCAATTTAAATTGAATTTTGAGGTTGCTATTTGACTTCAAAGCAACATTATCTTAGGCCAGAAATTCACTCTTATAAAAAGTCCTACTAGGTTTCAAGCTACGTTTTTTTTAAAAAACTAAGCTTCTTTGGGCTAAAAGATAATGCTTGTCATAATAAAAAACACATGAAAATTGTACCTATGTGTATATTAGAAAGCAGAATCTGGTTTCTGTTACCAGAGAAGTTTGTTTAACTGCCTCCTAAGTATAAAAATAAATAAATAAATAAATAAACAAACAAACAAATAAATAAATAAATAAAATGAGAATAAGCTAAAGATGGAGCTTGATCAAGGTATATATGGGATCAGGGATATCCTTAGGCACACAAAAAATACACAGCTGCTAATACGGATACTAGAGTGATTAGAGCAGCCAAATCAAACGGGAATTGAGTCGATTTACCAGATGGCAGTATTTCAGAGCTGACTAAGGAGTTGAACCTACGCAAACCTTTCATCCTTGCTAAGAAACGGCCTCATTCTATCTACTTGGTGCATTGCCTCTGTAACTCATCGTGTCTCCACTACCAAGGTGAAGGAAGCTGTGCCAGTGCTGCCTTAGCATGAGGGAACAAGTGCTGGATTACAAGTCGGATGCATTCCTTTGGTCTTGAACATGGTGTTGAGTGGACATAGTACCAACTAGCAGTGTTGGAAGTTCATGCTTACAGAAAGAGAAGGCACATGCCATCTGTGCCTTGTGCTCAGGAACAGTGGTATTACAGGGTAATTAGCAAAGTGAAATCTGCTTAAATTATTGAGAAAAATGAACTGCCTGTAGTGGTCTCCAGTTTTGGACTTGGTTTTCAGTCCACATTCCTGACTTTATTCCTCATCAGTCAGTTCTGACCCAGCCTCTTGCATTATGAAGACTGATTTACATATCCAAACAAGTGGCTCTAGAAGCGGGAATTCAGGCTGACAAAATGTAACTCATCCTCATTCTTTTTAGAGTTATTTTGCATAAATGAATAAATAAATAAATAAAATATATTAACAAACAAAACCAGGGAGATAAAGAAAGAGATTTCATGGAACCAGTGGTATTTTTGAGAAACTATTCAACTATCCATGTACATTTATGAAGATGGGGTTGGGAGAAGGGAGATTTCCCAGTTGACACGTTTCTCCACTTGTGAACATGTTGAAAGATCACTCATATGTTTTCAATGAAGTCACTGACAGTCAGGAATGCTGGAGGCAACAGCTGTTGGGGATTGATTTACCCCAAGGCTATTTAATTTCTCAGCCTCTCATAAGGATGCTTGCTAGGGGGAAGGTAAAGAAGCACAACTAAAAATTGTATTGCTTTCAGCAGCTGTTGTTATTCCTGAAAGCCAAGAATGGGTCAAAAAAATGTGATGAAAGTCTTGGATTGTTATCAGCTATAGGGGTGGCCAAAGCTTACTGCTTCCTTTGGGAGTAAAGTTTCCTTTGTGGAATGAAATACAGTAAAATTACTAACTCCAAGAGGGCTTAGTTGCCTGGGAGTTACCATGAAGTATATATGTGTCTTGGAATTTCCAGAATTATAAGTATATTATGTCAGTTGCAGTGATATAGGTTGTGAAAGGCGGCCCTTGTGTTCAGTAACAGGAGCTGGGACAATCGGATAGCAAGAAAAGATAACATAAAACATTCATTAAAATGGTGGAAAAAATGACTGAAAAGCAGAGTGCAGCTGCTGTGTGTGTCAGTTACTCCTTCAGAATGGTCTCCCTCTGTGAAACGCTGGATTCTCATTAAATCACATCGTCCAGCCATGCATTAGACCACCAAACTGTAAGGTATCTGCCAACCTAGTTAAAAATAAGAGACATGCATCTCCCAGCAGAATTTCTTTTTGTAACTATGCATTTTCCACAGCTTGCTAACAGGACTCTTCAGAAAGAAGAATTAACATGGACCACAGTTTCACTGGGGAAGAAAATAGAATAATGGTTTTGTTTCACTTGGGACTTCATGGCTGTGAATACGTGAGATGACTTGTGGCTTCTCAGACTGCATCACCAGGCACAGAACTTGTGTCTTTTCCCTCCAGCAATGCAAGCTGTTTCAGCCAGTGCCCCATCCTGGGCATTAGCTGTCTACAGCCTGACAGGTCCTTCATCCATTCCAAATCCTTACAGTGGCTCACTCAGGATGTCTACACCAGGGTTTTAGTATGGATCAAGAGTATACTTTTGAAGCAAATCTCCTGTTATCCCCACTTACCGTGCTTTCTTTCCCATTATGGATCTGTTTTGGAGAGTTTGAGCCAGATTCATTCCAGATGAAACTGAAGTGGAAAGTGTGCTCCAGGAGCATACCTCATGTATTGTACCATAAAGGGCTCCACAAGACCAGAGTAGAGCTAGTTCAGCGTAGGATAAACCTGAAATGTGAATAAAGGGACATTAGACGCTTAGTACTAGTTTCATTATGCAGATCTACTTCTACTGGTCCACAAACCTTGATGATATAGTTCTACACACCTGCCAGTTAATTAAAAGCCTCTTCATTAAAAACAAATAAATAAACAAAATAACAAAACAACAACACAAAATCATCAACAACAAAAACCACCAGGTAGTGGGAGAATGGATCTGGAAGTCAATTATCCTCAAAATTACTATGTTCAGATGAGGATGAGAATTTTTCATGCCAGTGCTGTCTCATAACACTAGCAGAGTTTTCAGGAGCAACACACAAGACTGCAATGACAAAAGAGTTCAAAGACAGCAACATTTGGTTAACATGGACATAAAATTGCTTTGAATATTCCTCAGATGCTAAAATAAATGATGAAGTCACAGAAATTATCATAATGCTGAAAAATAGGTAGCGTGCTGTTGAGTATCTTCATATGCTTTGCTCCTATGACAGCAGTTAATTGTACAGTGTATGTAGCCACACCACACTAGCACAAGACTGTATGGGAATTACTCATCAGAATGCCTTGGGATTATTATTTAGTCCTGTGGACACACAAAATTTGATGCATAACTACGGTTTATCCAACCAACTCAAAATCTTTGGCCTGAGAAAGCTGGAAAAGTCTGTGGGAGTGGTTTGGGACTACAAAGAAGGAATCATTAAATTACTGAAAATTTCTGTCCCACAAGTACTTAAAAGAACAGAATAATAATTTTTCTTGTGGCTTTTCAGAACTTCTCTCTCTGGGACAAAATGGAAATGAGAAAGAGGAAAAATGCAGAGATTAAGACAAATGAATTATGGACTGTGTCCAACAGAGTTCTGTAACAGTTTTTCTGCTGATTACACCGAAGATTGGATCAGGCACTTTTCATGCAGAAGTCTTCAGAATATTTGATAGCTTCATATCCAGCTCCCTTTCTTATTCACCAGCCAAGGTGCCATTGGAGTGATAGCATATACAAATCCCATAGCACAATGCACTTCCTAAACGAGAAGTGTCATTAAAAAATTATTTAACTGTTAATAGAAGTCTTATACAACAACAAACAAACACACACACACACAAAACAACAACAACAACAACAAAAAGCCCAAAGCTTGTGAACTATTCAAAAAAAAAAAAAATAATAATAATAATAAAAAGACACCCGTCCTTACCCCTCAGAGACTAAAAAGTGACAATAGTCTATGGAAAAATGGAAGAATGAAAATATTTGACTGTTACATGCTTTTTACCCTATGGAACTCTAACACTGTATGCTTGTACTCACCAAGCTGAATTGTAACCTCTTCTGGCCCATGGATAATCCTTGTCCTCTGAGGACCACCTGCACAGATATCTGTGCTCTTTTTGCAGTAACATTAGGCACAAAGGGAGGCTTACAAGGACCTGACTGAAGCTCTCGCTAATCTCACTAGCTGTAGAGTACAGCCTGTTCTTAGGGCCAATTCCTAACAACTGAAGGATAAGAGATTGTTCAACTCTAGCTCCAATGTTTATAGAAGTGTTGTCCAGCAAAAATCCACCTGTGGAAGTCTTCAGGATGGTTTTCTTTTCCTTGTAAATTTGATCCCATCTTTCAGAATCTTCTATTCCAGACATCCGATGAGGACCTGGTGCACCCAGCTCTCTTACCATCTTGTAAAATCAAGAAAGTGATTTTGTTTTTTCAGCCATGAGACAAATAAATTTCTACACTTTACTTGAAAACATTTATTTATTTATTTAAAATCCAAACCTGACATTTCAATTTGTTTGGGAAAATGTTCAGATTTTCCTTCAGATTCACCCTGGGCTTACTCTGCAACACTGACTATTCACAGACAAACGTTGCTTACAGGAAAGCTTTTGTGTTAACAGTTAATGAAGTACCAGATCAGGCACCAAAGGTATGGAAATGATGTTACCTAAGCTTGCTCCTCAGCACAAGCTGAGTTCATATTCTCCTCATATAAGTGCTGTTTCAAAACAAACCTTTATGCAAGCAGAGGAAGAAAGCTGAAGCTCCCAGGCTCCATCAGCCTGGAGCCAGCTGTTGCTGCACTCCTGGGTACAACCTGGGCATAGCCATGGTCATGCTGGCTGAGCCTTTCATTCCCACCTCATTTTGAATTTGTGTAATACTGGGCAGAGAAGTGAACTGGAATGTTTCCTGCAAAGGCTCTGTGTAAAGGGAAGGAAATCAGTGTAGGCAGTGTAGGCAGCAGTGCCACTGGCATTTTGCTGCTGTAATGACACATGGAGCTCAGGTCAAGAGCAAAGTCTCAATGACAGTGAGTAGCAGTGTGTAGGTTTAGCAAGGGACCCATTTGTATCATGATATATTTCAATGTGTTTGCTCTGAGTCCATAGAGCTTGTCAAGTTATAGCAACAGCTGATGCTATTATAAATGTGTGAGCTCAAGATGTTATAAATCAGATAAAGAACATACTTCTCAGCCCTCTTTCTTTCCATAGACCTATTTTCTTAATGCATAGTACTTTAATATGACTGTCATGAGGAGTCCTAGAGACTGTGGATAAATATAACTCAATTTCATGCAGAAAGCCTGGATCAAGACACAGTTTGTGAGGTCTCATGTCATTGTAAAGCTTTCACATAATGCAGTCTCTTTTGTACTGTTGATAGAACTCTTGAGGGCAAGGAGACAGTTGCTTCTGTCTTGTTCTTAGGCGTGAAAATCAGTAGGAGAATGTGAAAGGGTTAGAACATACCATCCTAGAGAAGAAAGTCTCAGCTTGCAAAGGAGACTCTAGTTAGGCAATGACAAATTCCTTCCTCTTATTAGAGACAAGTTCCTCAGCATCAGGAGACTTCCCTGGAATGTGGCTTTCAGCTCCAAGGTCATTCTAATGATGCTTTAAAATAAATAAATAGATAGATAGATAAATATGATGGTCTAAAGCAAAAGCCTGCAAAGCAGCTTTCTCAGACCCTACAAGCCACTAGTGAAGGAATGAGCAGCAGCCTGCTTGGAGACATTGAGAAGTTATGAGTTGTGTTCTTTCAGTGCATGGAGAGGTCAGCTCCTGGGGCAAAGCACAGAAAGGCAGATAAGACACCACCCACATCACCTGCAATTTCAAAATCAGTATCTGTGCAGAGCAGTGTTTTCCACAAAACAGGGTGAAAGAAAGAAGAAGCATTTGTGGCCCTTTCCACAAATGGTAAGCATGCATTAGGTTATGGCAGAAAGTGAGGAAGCAGATGCAGTTCCCAGGCTCTTCAACACAGCACAGGGACAGCGAGATAAATATGACAAAGTACTAGAGAATGAGGAAAGATACATAGAGGGTAAAAATAAACACTTTGATTCACCCAGCCTTGTCAACCATGAATGAGAACTCATGGAAGCTAAAGAATAACACTAAAAATGGCTTTCATCAATCTGTCTGTCCCTCTGCAACCAGACACAATGCATAATTCAGAGGCACCAGGTATAACTGCAACAAAAGGCAGAGGTACAGATACAACAGGGGATTAGTCTTGGTACTGAAGAAGAATATAATTTTTACAGAGGGAAATTAAAAGTAACCATGGATTCATAGGAAACGTTGTTGAAGAGTGTCTTGTAAACTTACCTGGTTCTGACCTCTAGGCCAAGGAATACAATTCATCTGTGTTCAGGAAAATTATATATTCTGGTTTGCATATAAATGCTTAATTAATTACCTATTACAGAAGTTTTACTCTTGCATCTAACACAATGAGGCTTTTCTTTACACTGTCACTGGCTGAACACCAGACTAGACAACCTGAACTTTTGAGGGCAAATCTAAGTTCTGAAATGGTCCCCTCATCTCTTAGGATGTCTTGGTTATTAAGGGAAAATAGGTCCTCATATTATCAGATTTCTTTCTACCAAGTGACGCATTTTGTTGTTGAAAACATAATATCTATAAGCAAACAGTGTATACTTAAGCAGGTGCACATTCACTTATGAAGTGTTAGTATGTTATAGTCAACACCAGTCCCAAACTCACAGCCCTTTAAAAACAACCAGTCAGATTGCTGTATGAAGTTGCATGGGAAGGCACTCCTCTAAAATACTTCTTCATATAAAATGTCTTGAATGAGAGCTGCATTACAGGAGAGTGCATTCGTGTGTATGTGTGCATGCACACATGACTTCAGACTGGAGGAATGGAGGAATGTTCTGTCACACAGAGGAATTTCCATATCCCAGATTACTGCAAACGGGGTGAAAAAAAAATTAAAATTGGTATGATGCCTAGTCCTATTTCTTAATTCCTCATGGAGCCTGTAGGCACAAACTATTCAGCAGCTGGGCTGGGAAAGAAAATTCCCCCTCCATGAAACATTATAGCGCAGTTGAACACATTTACAGTTGCACAAAACTTTTCATGGCATCAGCTATTTCCTTTTGGGAAAGGCAAAATACTTGAAAGCACAGCCCTGCTCTACTGCTGCAATTTTCTAAGGAAATTTTCTCTTTTACCTAAAAGAATAGCCAGTCATGAATATGCATGCAGATGCAGGCACTGGGCAAGCTGGGAGAACAGAGCGTCTTTCCCAGGCAGCCAGCCTGCAGGATGCCCTGGAGGGACTGGCCACTTCCAATGCACAAACCTTTAGCCTCAAAACAAACTAATGGCCTGTTGGAGATGATCTGAATGAATGTACTTAAGCACAGTGCAGCAGTACATTTCCCTAAGAAATCAGTTCTAACACCATTTTAAACTTCTCCTTACTCTCTTTCAGGAAAACCATAAAAAGAAGGATAAACAGTGAGAAAAACTGGGAAGCTTTTTGTGTTTTAATATCTGGAGACCAGAAGTGAGGGCTGTGTTGTTTGTTTGCTGTCATTTCCTTATCACCTATGAAGTTATGTTGTCTGTGCAGGATGTGGTGAAGAAATATTTAGTCATGTTTTACCTTTCCTTATCTTGAGTTCAGAGTCATTTTAGAGTTACTGGATAACAAGAAACCAATCCCCTTCCAGGCTTGTATTGACTCTATAAGCAGGATGACCTTGAATGTTTCAGCTCCTTTCATGTTCTCCAGAGGAGCAAAAGAATAGCTAAGAAGGTATAGGAATATATGTATAGGTAGTGTGAGTCAGGAAAGAACGGGTATTGTGGGGGTCAGAAGAAGAGGAAATTTTCCATAATGAAAGTAACTCTGGAGGCTCTGTAGTACGCCTCAAGATCTCAGGAAATATACCTTAAAATGGGGATCCACAGAGTGTTATTTATGGTTTTCCTTTTAATTAGGCGTGGATCAGACCTCCCTAGTTTATAGGGACTTGACTTTCTACCATATCATCCCAGCTCAAACACATTAATCTGTGAAGCCACAGAACACCACCTGAAGCAGAAAGTAATATATAGGCTTTAATGTGGTGAATTGGTGAGAAAAAAATATTTTCAATAGATTTTTTTTTACATAGTTCCCAATTCTGGTTACAAATCTCAAGAGATTAATTTCCAGAGTACCTGCAGGTACTCAGCATTTCTAGCAAATAGATTCCAATATGGCCCATCATGTTCTTTAAAATTGTAGAAGCTAGTTTTGAGCCTCCATTTTTAGAATAGCTCTTTCAACTGGCTTCCACTTTCTTAATACTTGTTCTATCTTATCACCAAATTCATTTGTGTAGAAATAAACTCCAGAGGCCATGTTCTGAGATTTCAAAACCTGAAGTGAGTAAATGTATTGATGTCTGTTGGTCACAGAAAATGTTATCTGCATCTCACAAGATACGACTTCCCTGGACTATGGGATTTACAAGATATGAGATGGGACATCCCACAGATCCAGTTCTGCTTATTTATATTCAGCACATTTTTTTCTCAAAGTGGAATCCATATGATCATAAAAACTGTAGTAATCTTCCTCATAGGAATAAATAAACCCGAGATACTAGGAAAAAGAGTTCATCTTATTAACTTCAGAAAGAATGCCTGGAGATACTAACTGATAGATATCGTCCTGTCTGAAACTATGATGTCCATTACAAGTATCTGCATTGTAGAAATTTTTCTACCTTTGAAAACTTTGTCTACCTTTTTTTTGAACACAAGGATCTGAAAGAGGGTAGGGAAGAGAACAAAAAAGTCAGAGTCAAATCAAAGACCTAGCAATTCGAACTCTTTGTTCAAGAGGCTTCTGTTTCCTTATTTGTTTAATTTTTATTTTTTAATTTTCATTCTGTTACTAAGAACACTACTGCTACAATTACTACTCAGATCTCAGAGATTACCAGACCCATTTTCAAGAGTCTACCTTGATTTGAATGCTGTCCAAGCAAACTTAGACAACATTTTTAAAACATCTAACTGACAGCCACAATAACCTTACGAATGATCTTTCTCAGCAATGTTTTTGACACTATTATTGAATCTGCATTGCAAAACCTACGTATAAGAAATACTGAAAACATTTTCAGCTATTGATGGTTTGGCATTTCTTCCAAACAAGAAGATTCAGAGATGCTAAAAGCAGCTTCATCAAACTGCATGTGTTTACAGTGCAACCATATCCATGTTCATTGCCTAAGCAGTTTTTAGTTGGTGGCAAGTTACTCAGTGTAATATAGGGTGCGCTTTCATACTAAAACACACTATCACATCTGGTTCAATGAATCACATCCTAAATGCAATTGATTTTATTGACCAGATCTCCATTGACTTTCAGGGGAACTTAGACACCTTACCCACACACATTATGCATTTTAGACACCTAAAATAAAGTGACATAAATACCAACTTAAGTTCTCACTTTTGTTGAAACAAAAGGAAGGATACTTTCTAGAGATGTCTCTTTGCTATAATCAAGGCTAAAGTTTGTAATTTAAAATCTTTTTCTTAAAAACTGAACAGCAGATTTCCTTCATTCCTTGTGCTTGGATCCACCTGATTTAGTCCCACCACCATCTTATCCCATACTTTTCTCTCTCTTCCTCTAAACCTTTTTTGATACAGCTGTAAGAGGAAGGTTGGTGTTACCCCAAAAGCTATTTTTTAGTACTACAAATCCAGCTAGGATTAACCTCAGTTCTTCAGAGTTTCTCAGAGATGCTCATGCAGCTGGTTCTCTTTTTTCCTTTCCATTTTTAAAGAAGTTGGTTCAGTCTTATATGACATACCCATAAGAAGGGAAGCAAGGGAAATAGCTCCCAACGACTGTGATGAGTTCCCCTTCTAAAGAATGCTAATGTCAACATTGCACTTTGATCTTCAGTCAGTCAGAAATATTTGAAAAATATCTCTTTATTCAAATATTTAACAATTTCCATAGACCATACACACCACGTGACATAATTTAGAGGTTGTACAACTCAGTTCCATAATAAAACACACTGCTTTCCTCACACTTAGCTGCAACAGATTTTGCTGTCAGTGTAGAGTCAAAAGACCTTTTACCCTGGTATAGATCTGGGATAACCCTGACAAACTCAACAAAATTAAAAGGCTGTGAAATAGAGTAAATCACAGGCACAGCAACTCATTTAATTTTAACAAAGTTACTTCAGGTTCCCTGCAGTCTAACTAATTGTTTGGCCTTGCTCCACTTTCCCTAAAGACCGAAGCATACTTATTTTCTTTCTCTCTTTCTCTGTTTTTTTTTTTTTTCTTTTTCTTTTTTTTTTCTCCTCCCTATGAAATGTTAACAGAAACCTATGCATTGCTTGTCAGAAGATGCCTAACAAACCTAGCATCCTCCAGCAACACTCTCTGCAGCCTAACCCCAACTGCTTCTCTGGGCTTTGCCTCTCTTCTAACTCTTAACGTAACTTTAACCCTAACACGAGGTTTTGTCTGAGTCTTAGCTCAAGATCCTCAGACATGGCCCAGACAAAAATGTTTTCAGGGGACACTTCTTTGTGCAGCTTACC